AAAGCCTTCTTTTGTGTGCCTTGCTGAGGCCTAATGAAAAGCTCTATTGTGCAGCCTTTTACTAACACTCTTTTCACAATTCTGGCTGAGAGAGGAATGTGAATAAAAGGCACAAGCAATTAAGGCGGAAACCTCATCCTTTTTCATGATGTATTTAGGGAAATGGAAAAAAAAGTGCACATTGATCAGAAGGCTGCACTTCAAAAAAAAAAAAAAAAAGAAAAAAAAGGAAAGAAAGAAGATGGGGGTGAAGGAGAAGAAAAGGAAAACAGTACAACCTTGATAAGATCACAGCATTAGAAGGGGACAAATTTACAAGCTTGTCCAGAATATGAAGTTAACCAAACTCTGCTCGCTGTTAGTAAACTCAGCCTCACACAGATCAGAAATGGCACTCCCTTGACTACTGTATTTTCTTTTAGGTGAGAAAAAAACCCTTGCTTTAGTTTCAGGGTTTGATCCTACACCAGGAAAAAGCACGTGAAGTTAATAAGTAAATCAGATACAAGCCTCTGAAATCCCTGCACCAACTCCACTTCAAGACTTGTGATTCAACTTTGCTTCTATGGGAAAACTATTTCAGTTTTAGTAAGAACTGTGTTGTGCTGAATGAGACAAACGGACCCAGTAAAGGTTTAAGAAAAAGTTGCAAGTGTTTATAAAGGAAAACTACCTGAGATGGCAAAAATCAAGACAGAGACAGGCACGTTTTAATGTTATGGAGCGCTCACTTTTGGTCACTCCTTACCTATCTGATTTGTTAAAATAAACTTCATACTAGCCCATCAACAAAACTATCAAGAAAACTGGTAAAAAACAACAGAAAACGTTACATGCATTGTATTGCTTCTCCAAATGGTAAAATGTTTAAGCACTTTCCACTCAAATAAGGATCACTGCGTCCCTATGTTCTGGTAGCGTGCATGATTCCTGTAGCATTAAAACAGCCACTTGAAATGAGACTATGGAAAAGGCAGAACACTTTATTGGGAAAATCTACCTAAATGTTCCTGTACATTTCATTAGAGAGGTTGATTAAAAGTTTTCCTCCTTTATTGTGTTTTTTTGTGTGAACTGGGGTGAAAAAAAAGACAAATAAAAAAGGCAATGCAGGCTGTTCTGTACAATGATTATTAGTTATTACTGAATTAAAGTTTATAACGGTATCAAGCCTAAGTCAGAAGAAACAGAAAACAATATGAAAGAATTTATCTCACATTTTTGAAATGTTAGAAATAAGCTGTGTTGGTGTATACACGTTCAGGAAAACTGCTAATGTTTATTTTTCTCTTTTTTAATGCAACCTTCTTTACATAGATCTTTTCATTCAAGTATTTTGATCTCCTGCTAAGAATTAAATACCATAACTTCTAGAAATGGAGGGCCAGAAAAAAAACAGGCTGGCAAAGCATCTTAACAAATATTTAACTTCAATAAGCGTGCCTGCTTATATTTAAGAACATCATAAATAATGCTTTGCTCACTGAGGCCTCACAGTCTTTCAAGACCAGCCAGCCAAGCAATGGGGATCCAAAGGTCCATCCAGGCATCCCCATTCACAAATGTCTTTGCACCAGCACTAAGTCACAGCTTTTCTATTTATTTATTTATTGTCAATGGGCAACAGATTTCCTGATTTGCCTGGGTTTTTTTCCACAGAGGATGCCATTGTTTCACATTTTCCAATTTTACTTTACTTTAACTGAGGCATCTACTTTCCATTTCATATCATGGACTGAATAAAAAATTTCTCTGACTTGAAATTTTCTGAAGACTTATCTCGTGACCCAAGCAGTGGGCCTTAAACATGTGAAGACACAGAGAAGAAAGAGATGGTGGTCAAAGACTCAGGGTCAATGGTGTTAAGCTGCTTCCACACCACCAGTAGCCCAAAGGCTAACCCCAGTATCATTCTGAAATTTTTCTCTCTAGAAGACGACATTTTGTTCAAGAACCTGCCATGAAGAATATAAAATTTTTAATTTCTGAACTGCAAAGAAAAGAAAGAAGGAAAAGTTTCTCACTAGAGCGTTAATTTTATAGTCCATTAATATTTTTAGTTACAAATGATTTGTATTAAAACATACATATTAAAAGATTAACTTCCATACACTATCCCACATGCCTCTCCTCTCCACACACAAAAGCCTCAGCCCATCTTCCCACAACCTCATGCTAATTCATAAATCCCGCTATTCTCACCTTCCTAAACAGCCAGGCAGATTCTCATACCCTCATCTGTTGTAGCAATTCCTATCCTTTATGGTTCATTTAGTAGATATATCAAGGAGATGCCTGTGAGAGAAGAACATGCTAAAGTCCCCCTGGCCATGTGCATGGCCACAACCACTGCCTTTGGTGGTGTAGGTAATGCCTTTGGGACTCTTCAGGAGACCATGCTAGAAAGCAACTACTACATCAATATATGCTAACACAGTTTTTCAGAATTCTAAGGAAAAACTCAAATTCATCCTAAAAACAGACAACAGCTGTGCAGAGCTAGGCTCTCCTGTCTATCAGGTTGTTTTTTTGTTAGTTCAGTCTTTAAAGGGTTTTACATTTTTCCAGTGCTCCAAAATATTTTTCACAAACAAAAACAACAAACAAAACTGAAAGGCTTCTGTAACCTATCATGAATCTTTGCATCGTTAGGCTTTGGTAATACCCTCTGCTATCTTGTGCTTATTGTAAGGTCTTAGCAGTTCTTTTCATGAAAAGTACACCTCGCCGGTGCTGCAACTCTTTCACAAGTGCTACTCATACACAGTATATGCACATTACTGCTCGCATGGTCCAGCCATGGTAGCAGTGAGGAAGTTGGAAGAAGGTACAATAATGAGCAGCGACACCATCAGGTTTAGTGGTCCACTCTGTTTGCCCTGGTACAAATATCTAACAAAAGTTCGCCTCTGTCTGGAGGAGCTTACTGTCCACAGGAGACAAAATACAAAAGAGCAATGAATATGCTCAAACACTGCGCCATGCCCTGGGTCACTCAACAAGCCAGTGGAAAAGCGAAGATTAAAACCCACGGACAATGACTCAGACAGTGCCCTTCCCAGGGAAGGATCCAGCCCCTGTATCAATGAGGAGCCCAAGTACTTATATACTCACATCACAGGGTGCAGGAGCAACTGCCACCCCTCAAAATACTAATAAAGGCCTCAAGTCTCCTCTGATAAATATGTAAAAACCTGCTCATTCTTTGCCGTTACTCTAGAACATGATACATCTTTCTACTCTCCTTAAATTTACTCCCGTATCAGACTGAAGGTTTTGCCTGAGCAGTTTTAGTTAATTTTGAAGTCTGGGAAATGCATGTCTTCACTATTTCATTACTTCTTCATTAAATATCTTATTTTTAGACATTAAAAAGTCACTGCATTTTTTTCCCAAGCTCTGGGAACATTTCAGGAATGTGAAGCAAGATATACAGTTATTAGAAATAGGTATTTCCCAAGCCATTCACAAGTTTGCATCACTGAAAACACCAATAAATTCTCAAACAACTATATTACATTTCAATTTACAAAAGTCACTACTAATCTACTAATGCACGCAAGCAGGAGTGTACCTCCCTGCATCTTTCAGTTACCAAAAGAAACATTTTGTGCAGTCTGTTCATGTTCCAAACTGCCTCTCGTTATGTGTGGACTTTTCTTATAAACCAAGCATCAGAGAGAAGTTTGGTAGTTGTTCCTTTTCTTTAGTACACTATATGGTAAAATATGGAGCAGGTCAAAGGCTGGGATTTTTATTGTGAGAACAAGGTAAAAATTATTTCATTAGCTGACATATTCTTCTGCAATACATAATTATTGCCCAGCTACTTGGTGACATCACTTTGAAGAACAGAATTACTCAAGACTGACTACATGAAAAGAGCAAGGACCTATGTACTGGTGATACAGCACCTACAGAAGTGAATGGGGTACGTCAGCCTGGGGCAGCTGATGGGATATATCAGAGGTGTTGGTGCACACTGTGAGCAAAGGAGAACACCAGTGGCTCAGGGAAGAAAGAAGGCAAGGATGAACCCTCAATTCCGTGCCAATTCTTTAATTCTCTACCCTTCTTTTGGTCTGTCTTCCACAAACATACCCAGAACCTCTTTCCTGATAATTTATGCACTGCAACTTCTTTCAATTTCAAATCACACCTTCATCCTTGCCCAAAATAATCTTCCAAGATCTTGCTTACAAGAGGATTTTTCATGAAGTACATTAACTTTTAAACCCTTCTCTCTATGAACTCTCCCTATCATCATATACTAAGAACACTTTCCTACAAAAGTAAGTTGTGGTACAGAGCCAAGTGGACATCCTGTCCCAAAACGCAAAATAACCCTGTGTTTAGGAACTTGATTTTCAGCTGACTAGCAAACAAGCTGATGGATATTAAATGACTGTATACTTGTGGAAATACAACAGTGGCTCTTAAACCATTTATATGTTTTGCAAAATTTTATCAAAGGAGTTTAGTACATTAAAAAACATTCAGACTTTTTTTTTAAAGAGAAAAGAAAGCATAGGAGATAACATTATGTGTATTCCACCATTCACCTAAACTCATGGGTTTTGTATTCCTTTTTCTGTCACTCATCTCATTTATTCTCCTTCACGGTGTAATCCCCCGAGTGTCTTGTCTTGTCTCCTGACAGGCTGCAAGCTCTTCAGAGCAGGCACAATTGTCTTACTTGCTATATAAATCAAGTTACATGCTAATGTTAAATTATAATGTTTTGACAGGATTCTTAAGTTGAACCTGATTATATGAAACAATAGAACATACTGATTTTTTTCCTGAAATTTTCTTCTTTTAAAAAAAATTATATCAGAAGAGGAGAAGTAGGGGGTTTATTTCCCATGATTTTTTTAAACTTTTTGTTTT